GGGCCCCCCCCCCCCCCCTGACAAACACACCCTGACTTCCGCCGTGTGTCAAGGGAGGACAACGGCAAGAAAAGGCGAACACATCAAGACAGTCGCTTGCAAGAACCATGGCAACCACTCAGGTTAGCAAAACAGCAGGGTGGAAAAGATAGGGTCGGAACTCGGAACAAGAACTTGAATAGACCAGTCAGCGTAAAATGACAAAAAAAATCCCAGTCAAGATTCTTTCGCATGTCGCCTCTTCCGTCGTGAACATGCAGAGAGCAAACGAAACATCTAAAACCCTTGGGATAGCCACGAGGAGCGGCACCAAGCGAGGCTACGTCACGCCAAGCCAAACGCAAGCCCGACGCAGGGTTGCGGAACAACAAACACCGGGAATTGTCAGACCAACATCACCCACAAGCCTCGCAAACACAAGGCCAATGCCCTCTCTCCCCCAACATAGACAGGGATCGACAAAATGTCAAGCAAGCTCTAGCGGCTGGCCTCTCCTGGGCTGACTTCGCAGACCCTATTCCCTTACCCTAACCCTACCCCAACTTCCCCGATTGCGTGCTTTATACAACATGTTTAGTGAAGTAAATTCACCTCGTTCATGTCGTATACCCCGAAGAGGAACCGCATCTTCTCTTCCAGGGTCCCTCGGCAGCACACCGCCAGCCCGACCACGAAATCATCGAAGGATATTCGCCCGGACTTGTTGCTGTCCAGAGCGTGGAACAAGCGGTCTGTACCGCGGGTGGCACACGCGGAACGACGGAAAACACGATGCGGAACGACCCGTAGAACGACAATGAGGGACATACGGACGACCCGCGCAGTGTGTATATGCACACGCACAAAAATCACAAGCGCGGTCGGCTGGCTAGCGTTGCCCACGCTCCTCGTGAAGGTATCTACGACGCCGAGTTCTTACTTTTCGTTATCAGACGAACGATCTCCCTAAGACTGGTGGCGTGTTGAGGTACTTGTCTTCCAAGCTCCAAGCTGTAGGGAACATTCACGCCCAGAAACAACTCTTTTTTAACGGTGTAACATGAATGTCCAGTTGTTAACCATCCCTCCTGTGTGACCCCGGCGGCTGGTGCGTCGAGCATCCAAGTATGACGCAAGGTATAACAATGACGCCCAGAATAGATCGACCGAAGCACACACACAGACCGATACGTGCTTGTGCGCATGCATACCATATGCCACGGCGTAGCATACGTGCTTGTCCGTATGGATACCACATACGTGGGAGCATCAAAACTACGACACACAACATAAAATAGCACATCAAGATCAAGCAACGGGATTCCCAATCAAAACTCCAAAGGACCACAGACCAAGCAGCATGCGTTCCGCCATCACAATATCAAGGGACGCACATTCCGGTAACTTTTTCAAGTGTCCAAAAGCACGATTCACTAGCGTACGCACCTCCAACGAGCCCCGGTACGGGAAAGTTCTGCAGAAATGTGGCCTTGTCGATAGACTCTCCGCCCTTGTCTCCCTTGGACAGTCCTGCTAGGTCCTTGTATGTCAGGCTGATCACGTGCAGCTCGACATCATCGCTGAAGGGAACAAACGCGTGATGAGAAAAAAAAACACACACACAAACACACACGAGCACAAACATGGTCAGCCGGTTAGAGCGGTCGATGCCAACAAGAAAACACACACACGCACACACAACACACATGCCCAAGGTGCTTACTGCGGTAAACATGCTCCCAACGAGCGAGTGGTCTGCTGCTTGTGGGTTGGGGATATTTAGTATGAATAGATTCCTCCACGGCTCGTCAGGCTGTCGTATGCGTCCACCATCATTACATGCGGCGAATCATAATTCCTGATGATATGAACACTGAGGGCTGGTGCGGTGAAAGTTTTTTTGAGGTTGAGGCATCGGGAGGAAGGCCTTGTGCAGCAACGAGAGCGCGCAGAAGAGGGTACAATATCACACGCTAGCATACCTATGCAGCGCAAGTGTGTCCACAATCACTCGGCAATTCGACAACTGATTCGAGCAAAAGCAAAACACAAGACGAAGCTCCAGGTTTCCCGTCGCATTTCTTGTTCCTACTCCCGTGCTGAAGGTGCATTGTTTGGGGTATTTCACGTCTCCGCTTCACCGGGGATGAGCTGTATTCCCAAAATCATTTGCAGAAGGGCACGTCCCTCCGTGAACGAAACTGTTGAGCATGGAAAAGCAATGTGTGCCTTTGAATAAAGCGTGTACTACTGTACACCACAGATGGTGACAAGCAGACAAGCAGCCATACGATGGCCACACACAATCACCCTTGTCGCAGCAGCAGTACTTTCATGCTGCTGCCGTTCAGTGAAAAAGACCGTACTCGTGGCCCTGGTTCGCGTGACATGTGTGAGGCAACAGGCCGCAAGCTTTCCCCTTGCTTTCGATCACATTTCGCCTCAACCATCAGCAAAGAACGACAACCAAGCACATGCCGCCGTTCGCTGAGGTTCATTGGGCTGTTCGAGTCGAATACCGTAAATGACACAAGATAACACACCCCCTGGACCGATTTTTCAAATCTCGATTTCTCGACAACAGAAAGAGTCACGGCGCCGAAAACGGCGGCGTTGGAACCATCTCGTCGAGAGCTTTCCAAAAAATGTATCGTTTCGTTTATGCATCCTCTTCGTCGTGGAGTAATCGAGCTTTGAAAATCGGTCCAGGGGGTGTGTTATCTTGTGTCATATGCGGTACACGTCAGCTGCGTGAGCTGTTGAGCGAGGGAAACGCCACACCGCAGCAGGCAGTCAGCTGTGAGGTGGTGCTGCTGCCTGCTTTATCTTCATCTTGCATCTTGCATCACCCCTTGATCACACTACCGTGCTCCCGTAAGCCCACGCCGGCGAATACTTGTGGAACACAAAAATACGCGGATCTCGACAACGGGAATGAACAAAATAGGTTCTTCAGTTAAATCTGAAACTCTTAAGCGTCCAGGACCGGTCCTGGACATAAAGCTGCTATATGTTGAAAGTAACCTTTTTCGAAATCAGTTAAGCCAACCTCCAGAGTTTGAAACTGTGTATTGATCGATTGTTCAATGAAGATGTAGTCCAGTAGTCGCGCTCGATTGTTCGGGTGTTTCAACACTACAAACAAGAAGAAAGAAGGTCATGCTGGGAGGGGAGATTTCCGAATGCACACGCGGAGCATTTCGCATTGAAGGTTTGCATAACTCCAGAGCTCTGTGCAAAGGAGCTTGGGACATGCACATAGAAGTAGACCCAATCAACATGGGTCGAGCTCCCGTCTCCATCTCCACCCTGAAGTGCAACCTAAAACTGCTCAGATAAAACATATTGTAAGATGCTCCGTCTTGTGAGTTGCACCACACACAAGTCAGCAGTGAACGAGGTAGTTATTACACCAGGTGTGCTCCGTGTTGAGGCCCAAACGGATAGCGCGAGGCACGCATGTGTGTGTGTGTGTTCGGCTCTTTGTTGATGTCACCCGCCGCGCACACCGCCATGTGTGTCCGCTCGTGTCTGGCGGCAGAGTTCCCTATACACGCCGTTCGGTGCACATATTTTAGCTCTGACGTGTTTACCAACCGGGGTGATCGGTGAGGGCAAAAAACCAACAGACCGACAGGAGCCACGAGAGGAAATTTAGGTACAACGGGAAATCCCGGCAATTATACGTCCGCCTCTTGCTGGACCTGTTGGGATATGTATATACATGCATATGGGCGTGCGTATGGATGGATAGGACATGGATAGCGCCCGTACTTCCGACCGGAATACCACTTGATCTATATTCTTCGAGAGCAGCGAGCGGCCGGAGTGACACCATTATTTAATAACAAAGACGGATGTGAGCGTGTGGATGAAGCATCAACATCTTCCACGCACCGCTTCGGAACCGTTGGAACTTTTTAGTCTTGCTGTGCATCATAGGACGGACGTACTCCAGAAAAATAAAAGGCAGCCAACAAAGAGAGAATACATGTAGATTCAAAAAAAAAAGGAACACCCCCCGAGCAGATTTTCCTGCTTTTGTGGGGGGAGCTGTGCCTCCGTTCCATTCGGCAATCCGATGTGTTGTCGCCGAAGTTACAGAAAGAGGGCTTCTGCGACCAATTTTCAAAATACACGTGCGGTGGGCGGGTGCTCTGCCACCTACCGCCCGCCGCCCGCGATGGGTTCAGTCAAGGGATGTCAGCTTCTAGGGTGGACTGCAACCAACAAGCAATTCTAAAAAAGCAGCACCGTTGTTTTTGTAGGCACACACAGCAAGCAGCAGCAGCACAGCTTCCGTCATTTTCCTGACTCCTCTCTCCATTGTTACAAAAAATTCAGAATCGAGTGCCGCAGCAACATTTCGCGTCGTTTTCTCTGGGGCGGCGGCGGCCCTTGCATGATCTGCTGAAAAAAACGCCGGAAATAAAACAAAAAAAAACGAGAACCCGTACCACCAGTACATGCCCGTGACCCGTGGGCGCGTCGCCAGTGGGAGCGAGACAGACAGACAGTGCGCAGCGCATTGTTTCTCTTCCTGCCTTCGGAAACGTGCGCTGCTCAACAGGAGAACATAGCTAGATGAGGGTCGGAGGATACATAGAGAGAAGAGAGAAGCCGGACGAGCACGAGTGTTGCGCCGCACATATATTTCTTGTGAGGTTTGACGAAAAAACGGTCTGCACCAACGGAAGGGCGCGCGGTTGCCTGCTGGTGCGGGTGCTGCACACGAGTCGATTTATGAGAGAGTTTCGGGGAACAGAAAAAGACCGGGAGAGAGAGAGAGAGCGGGGGGGGAAGGGACGAACCAAAACAGGATTTCCCACACGTCAGGTTTGTTGCACCCTTGCGACAGCTGCTGTGGGTCGGTCGGGTTATTTATTGCTCGTGATTGGACAGCATCTGTGTGATTTTAAATGTAACGCCAGAGGGCTCAAGAAAACAACTGCCGTCACAACTGCTGTCATCACACTGCTGTTGATGCTGTCGCACGAACCCGAGGAAAGAGTACATATACACATGCCAAGAGTTCGCCACACACACACTTACAACTTCGTGCCCGCCAAGCGCCCTTCCTTCGTCAACGGCCTCCGCGCTTTGCTCCCGGAAGCTCCCATATTGTCGTAACACTACGAGGGGCCCCCGACACCTCCCAAGCTCTTGCAGTAAACCCCGCCTCGTCCTATCGCTGCATGCCGTTTGTCGCTTTGGAGAGAAGACAGAGATTGGGAATGACACAAAATAGTTGGGGGGGTCGGTCGAAAAGTCCAGCAAGCCCCGTCGCCTGACCAGCAGAGGTCGACCCCTCCAGCCCCGGTGTCAGCGCTTCCTGTGAGGGAACTCCCTTTGTCTCTCCGTCGCCTTGCAACCTCGACTGCGTGCGTCTGCGCAAGTAGCAGATCGATGGAGAGAGTTTACAGAAAAGGGATGTGTGCAACTTCTGCCTCCGCGAACAGCGGGAGCGGCACGCTGGATAAGATATCTCGGAGGTCGTGTATGCAGCTTATTCACAGCGCCCCCCAGTCGCCTCGCGGCAGCCTCCAGCTGCCTGATTTGCTCCCTATCAGCTTCACCACACTGCAACGAGCGCTCTCGACGGAACGATGACGACGTTTAGCCGTGCACTAGTCACTCTAGTTTTGAGCGTGTCTTCCGCGAGCGCTTTCGTACCCTACCCGTCTGCGCTGACCAAGTCGAACCACCGAGCAATCCATGATCCGGCTCCGGCAGCAACAACAGCAGTAGCACCGCGACCTCGGTATCAGCAGCACGCGGGCCCGCTCCTCATGGGCTGGGGCGACGCATTAGGTAAAGCATTCGCGAACGAGGACATGGCCCCCAAGAAGAACCCTGGTCTCAAGAATGCCCCCAACACATGCATGGTGAGGAGGGCGAAAGTAGACATGCTGACTGACGCGAATCTCATATTCTCCGCTCCTCGAGAGTACGTACGCGTAAAAATGTTTCTGATGTTGCAACGCGTGTGGCAAGCATGTGGGACTCTCTCTTTCAAGTAGGAACAACAGTTGCCGCTACGTCCCCTTTGGTCACACATACTGCTACATTATTGTCAGCATTGGAAGACATACAAACGCGCGCGCGCACATTCGGCAGCCGTGTACTGCCCAGTCACGATGGGCAACGTTTAAGTGTTTTTTCGTTCATCACCGGTAGGTAAGAGCACTTAGTCTACAGCAGTAGTCTACTACCCAGACTGACTGCCCCATCCGTCAATATCGGAGTGTTTTCTCTCCACTGGTGAAGGGCTACAGCAGAAACACACACTTCAAAGCCCAGCAGGATTTCTTCCCCACTCACTGCAAAGGACTTGAACGCACTCCTTTGGCTGCTGTGTCTCAGCGGGTAGCCGTTCAGTGATCGCCTGTAATTTTAAATGTCTACTTGTTGTACTGGACTTGCTGCCCCGCGAGAAGTAGGTCGCATCTTTTTGTGTATTTATCACATGGAGCAGCAGCATCTGCGATGCAGCATCATTTTTCCGTATCTGTGGTACAGGTGCACTGGCAGATTCCATCACCTCGGCTATGGGGCTATGGATGCACCGGACGGAAAGGCAGCCGATGCTGCGCCGCCGTTTGATCGCAACGCGGAATCGGATTTTTGTTTTAGGCAATCAGAGCATGATATCGCTATCTCTGGGCTCTGTACATGTACGATGTGCTACTTGAGGTACTCAAGAAATTCCCCAGCAATTACTCTGTGAAACGCAGCCGGTGGGAAACCAACCGTTGGCATGCATGCGTGTTTCAGGTAACCGTCAACGGGAAGACCATCCAGGCGGTGCAGGGGCAGCGTCTGAGGGATGTTGTACAGGCTGCCAAGGCGAAGATCGAGTACGGCTGCGAGAAGGTATACTAGTCTATGCATATTTACAGCAGTAGGAAGGCGTATACCACAGCATTAGATCTACGGGCCCGCAGTTGAGAAATGCTATGTATGTTTATACACAGAGGCAGTCTCACATTTTCCCGAAAACCAAAAAAAGTGGGTCAAGAAACACACCAGCGGTGAATCCTCACACTCAACTCTATAAAACACCTGTGCTCGACACAGCAGTGGCAACGAAGTAGGAACCTGAGCCTCGACCCGATTTCAATGTTTCCTATCTCCAGGGCCGTACTGTAGCTCTTCGGTCATTGTGCGTCGGCTTTGGAAAGAAACGAAGTCAAACCGCCAGACCAATCAGCTCTGGCTGTTCGGTTTGAGAGCCTACGATTGTTGTTGTTGTTGTTTCTCACATTAGCTCTAAAAAAGAAAGTTTGGGAGCCCGTGGTCTCAAAACCCGGCATACACGACCCCACGAAGAAACAGAAAATAATAGGGTACAAAAACCACTCGGAAGAGAAACAAAATGATAGAAAGAAAGACCAGCTACCGCACCAAACGAGAAAGAGCGTCGAGGAGACCGATCAAAATAAAATAAAAGGAGAACGGGGAACGCTTCCCACACCCGCCTACAACGCCGGAGGGTTCCGTGCCGG